CACAGAAGGTGCTGGGGAATTCTGGGAGTTGAAGTCCACACGTTTTAAAGTTGCCAGGGTTGAGAAACACTGATATACATCAATGCACAATCTGAATAAGTGGTAATTGAATAACAGAGTTGGAAGCAGCCCTGAAGTTTTGAAGCATTCCAGACTATCCCGCCTTCCCCTGGACATGTCCGACGGAGGAAAACTCACCAGTTCCTCAGATGATGAGTTCCATTGTCAAGCTGCTATTACTGTTAGGAAGTTTTTCCTAATGTTGGAATCTGCCTTCCTCTAACTCAGTATTTCTCAAACATGGCAATTTGAAGACGTGTGGACTTCAACTCCCAGAATTCCCCAGCACCTTCTGTGACACATCTTCTCAGATACTTTAGGAGTGCCATCATGTCCCCTCTCAGATGGCTTTTCTAAAGCTCCATCCGTCTTTCTACTCTTTGTTGTCTTTCTCTGAAGCAGTTCCACTTTCTCAAAATCTTTCTTAAAATGTGGTGGTGCTCCTAACTGGATAGAGTTACAGTACTCAGGGTGGGATCTGACCCGAGCAGAATAGACAGGAACAATAACTTCTGGTGATATGGAAATTATGCAATCCAAAATAGCATTTGCCTTCTTTGCAGTCACATCACACTGCTGGCTCCTATTCAGTTTGTGATCAACTATTATTCCAAAATCTTTTTCACAAGTACTGTTACCAAGCCAGATAACCCCTGGAAAATTGCCCTTCACCACATTGGACTAAGCTGTGAATGAACGCTCTCAGTCATGTTACATGTAGACATTGTTCATGTATATTCAAATTTGATGGCTGAGTAGTGGGACAGCTACTCCTGCTCAATTGACTAAAAATAGAATAGACCGTTGGGAGATCCACCAGACCAGTGGGCTCGTATAGCAAGTGTGACTAAAATGACAATGACCAAAGAGTCTCGGCTTCAAATCCCAATGAAAACTTTCAGATCTGCCTTTATACACATACCGGACACGTATCTGGCTAGGATTTCTGGAAACTGTTGTCCGATATATCTGGAAAGCACCAGTCTGAGAAAGGTTAGCTACCTATTTTGCAAGTTTGTGACAAAGAGAAGAGACCAATTGCAGCTGAATGCCTAAGTTCAAAAACTTCTTTCTCCTGAAGTGATGGGGATCTGCTGCTGCCAGTCAGAGTACACCAGGATGGGAACTTTTTTTTCTCAAAGGTCTCACTCCTTGGAAAGGGGTGTTTATTTACAGCTACCATATCTGGACTGCAGAGATCTAGCCAACCATATCTGCAGCAGAGAGATACAGATAATTACAACTCTTTGCTGCCATCTAGTGCCCATCTAGATTTGTTCAGCCCAAATACCATATAGTAGATCATGATTTATCTGTCAAAGACTCTATACCCGTGTTTCTCAACCTTAGCAGCTTTAAGAAGTGTGGACTTCAACTCCCAGAATTCTGGGAGTTGAAGTCCACACGTCCTAAAGTTCCCAAGGTTGAGAAACACTGCTGTATACTGTTGGGTGAAGTTAGTGATGAATGTGGGTGGGATTATCACATATTCTGTCTTCCCCCTTGTCTTCTTTCTGCCACCCACCCTCTTCTCTTTCTCTTGTCGTCTTTCTCGCTCCCCACCAGTAGGCTGCTAAAGAAATAACAGATCACTCTCCCCAGAAGTCTGAACTGATTATTAGCAGAGCGCTTCTTGAATTTAAGCCAGGGCTGCAAGCTGTCCAATCCTGAATAAACAAGTTTATGCTAAGTGGCAGGCCCTTTTGATCTGGTAAAAAGCAGCTTCCTATGTTGAAAGATGAAAGAGGGAGGAAGCCATGTGAATGGGGCATGTAATAAATAAATGGAGACAAAATGAAATTTGCTGTCTCCCTGCTTAGAGCCTCCTTGTATCTCTGCGTAACAAATGCTGGGTTCCATTACCATAGTATGGGGAGACATTCTTCCTTATTTATTTGTTAGTTAGTTAGTTATGTTTGCATGCCACTGTTGAATGAAAAAAATATGCAGTCAAAACCATCAGCAATCAATAGGCTGCTCTGAAAGATAGCTGGGTGGTCCACATCATATGATCTATCCAGTGATGGAATGGCAGAGGATCAGTAAAATGCAATGCTTCCCTGAGAGCAGCCATCTTTCCTCATCCTTCTCCCCATTTCTGGCCCTTTTCCCCTCCCTGTACACCCACAGGGAGACTGGAAATAAAGAACCAAGGGGGAATGTCTAGAGAAACTCAGGTTTTGTGAAATCGCTCTAGACCAGTGTTTCTCAACCTTGGCAACTCTAAGATGTGTGGACTTCAACTCCCAGAATTCCCCAGCCCAGCATGGCTGGGTTGGGGATTTTTGGGGGTTGAGGTCACACAATTTTGAGTTTTTTAGGGTGGGGAAAAATTTTGTGACATTTTTTTT